GCAAACTGCATGCAAAAAGACCCTGGGCCAGGAATCGAACAGATGCTCGCTGGCTTCATAGAGTTGACAGCCAGCGACAAATGAATCGTGTCTGTTCTCTTTTGTTTATTTGCTGCACACTGAGCAGGGATATTTTTCAAGAACATTTCTCTCTGCACTGGGGTCTGTAGATCCTCGCTTCACTCTCCTCCTCTTCAACATGTTATCTTTGAGAAGGCTCGATTGTTCCAACTACATACCACCACGGTCAGGGTAGGCACAAATACATCAAAATGTATTTCCAAGTAAAATACCAAATACCCACCTTAAAAAAGGTATCAAAATAAACTACTGTATGTTTGTATTTTCAAAATACTACAAAATACTTCATTCTAAGTGTTCTGTCAAGCTGCCGGGTAGCCCCTCCTCCCCTCCCATCAGCAGGGAGGCACCAGGTGGAACTAATCTCCCAGCAATTTGGGCGTGCCAGGGACNATGGACAAAAAAGAGACAGAGAGGGGAAAAAGCAGCTGAAAAGGAGAAAGAAAGAAGGATTAAAAATCCAGTCCAGGTTTCTGCAGGTGGAAGACATAGCTCAAGGAAGTCTGCCAATGTACCAGAAGTAAGTAGTGGGAGCATATCAGGTGAGAATAAAAGGTCACGTGGCAAAGCAAGTAAAGTGTTACAATACATGACTGAAGAACGAGTAAACATCATTTCGGAGGACAATAAAAAAAAAACTCCATCTATGGCAGCCAGCAAGGCTAAAAAGCATGCAATGACTCAGCCAAAAGAAAAGGAAACTACCTTAAATGTAGAGCTTCAAGTAGCTGAGGGAAACCTAAATTTGAAAAGAAGTAATCCCCATTTGCTCTGTTTCCCTGTTAGTAAGAAGCATATCAGAAAGAATGGAGGGAAGAAGAGCAAGAATAAAATATCAAAATTCATGTGTTTCTCAACCACTGAAAATGGAGATAGTGATTAAGGGGTGGAATAATAGAAGTAGTAATATAGTTGTATAGTGCTTGTCTCATTGTCTCTCCGTCAGTAATAGATCTTGTTTAGACATGTTGTTTTATATTAAATTTGATTGATTTCCAAAAACATTAAAAAATAGTTTAATCTATTGATTTAAAATTTATTTGTTGCAACTGAAATTTTGCTATATCATTTGAAAAAGAACAATATTTGTTTACCATGTATTTCACATTTATTATGTATACCTAAAATAAACATTCAGCTAGGTAGGACATAAATTGATATCCTCTTCTGGATTTAAAAACATACAATGACACCATAAGAAGCCCTAAAACAATGGGGTCAGATGGCATTAGTAATCTACTCTATGTGACAAATGGAATTAAAACTGAGATTCTAAAACAGTTTGTATTTAAATCAAACAGGGTTCAGCTTCAGATTTCTTAGCTAAATATTGAATAAATCCCCTTATTCATTTATCAGCAGGTGTGTAGGGCAGTGGAGAAATGTAAAAGTTGTAGGATATCTGTCTTCAAGGATTTGAGTTTGAGACATATGTGTTAAAGAATGATTTTAATTTTGAATTTGTTTTGCTGATTATATTCTAATAAGTTAATTGTACACTACTTGATTAAATGCCACGGGTTTCAAAAAGGAAATGTTTGTATTAATGTTGTATTTTCATTTTTATTTCTAGTTTTCTTGTATTCGGCAATAAACTTTGATTGTCACCTTGATGAGATGTGTTTATTTGTAGTTGTTTGTCCAAGTCATAGTTCATTCAGTATGCCCAAGAACAAGACCGATTTATTTATATGTCATGGTTTTCTTTATTTCTTTATGAATTGCCAAATGATTATTTGAAAAACATTAATGGCACAGTTTTTACCTCTGTGGCAGTGTTGTGCTAGTTACTGAAAAGCAGTAACTAGTTTCTGTTACTAGTTACTTCATTTCAAAAGTAACTTAGTTACTAACTCAGTTACTTACACCATAAGGTAATGCGTACTGTGAAAAGTAACTATTTAGTTACTTTTTTTTTAAAGGTTCACATTATGCCCTTATAGCCTTCATTTCAGAAATGTTATTGCACAGGAGAATAATACCATCTGTTGAAAAACTTGACATGCATTTGCATCATGAAACTCTGCTAAGCAATTCTATATACAAGCAACAAAGATATGTTTCAAAGTGCCAATTTATTTCAGGGCAGAACAAACTGACAATGCTACATAGTAGGTAGTTGCCTGCAAAATTGCCCTTGACAGCAGGTGGCCTGCTATAATTTGTTCCCCCCTTGTAACTTTGAGAAACAAAGGTCAATCAACTCCAAAGTTTCAGGGATTAGTTGTCATCATAAAAGATGCTTATAAGCCAAAAAATGAAAAGGCTGGGACCTTTTTTGCCTGATTTAGACAGGGGGAACAGATTACAGCAGGTTTTATTTCATCAAATCGAAGGGTTGACGGTTCAAGCCCCGACTCTGACTTTCAGTGTTGTTGTGTCCTTGGGCAAGACACTTCACCTGCATTGTCTACTGATGGTGGTCAGAGGGCCCGGTGGCGCCAGTGTACGGCAGCCCCGCTTCTGTCAGTGAGCTGCCCAGGGCAGCTGTGGCTACAATGTAGCTTGCCACCATCAGTGTGTGAGTGTATGTGTGAATGTTTGAATGAATGTAGTGTAAAGCTCTTTGGTCAAGTCTCCTAACTTGAATAAAGGCGCTATATAAGTAAGTACATGCCATGCCAAGTTAACAGAGGCGTGCACAGACATTTTGGGGGGCAGGTGCTCAGGAGGGGGGGGGGTTACTTTTTAGCGCACGTGGAATGTACACGCATGTTGAATGAAATTTTACTTTTATTTGTAACATTCTCTAAACGTGAGTTTTCAATGGAAAAAAGTCACA